GTAGATATACTATATTCTCTAAAATAAGGTTACTTAATATCATTTTCAATAATCATTAAGCAAAGAAATACTTTTATATGTAGCAAATATAAACTAATATTTTTTAATAATTTTATTGTATATTTTGTTCTTATTTGAAGTCAAAATACTAGTTTATAACTTTGAATATGATAATAATTAAAGATATTCTAAATAATAAAATTTACATTTTTCATTAAGTTTTCCTATAGCTCCAATTGATTTTAATGAGATGGTTAAAATTATAGAATAAATTTTTATAAAATTGAAATTTTATTGGAAAATAGTTAGTTTTCAAATATAAATTTATGAGACTTTTATATAGCAGTTCGAAAGTATTAGACAGAATCACATGTATCTGGTGATCAATAATTTATGATAAAAATTTCATTACATAAACTTATGTCTCCATTGATTTTAATATGTGATATATTTAGGAAAAATTTGCAGACAAATTTGTCTGGAATTGCTTACAGTTTAAGAGATAAGTAAAGTTTATAAGATATATAGACAATACACTCTTAATCATTAACTAAAGTTCTTTTTTTTTCTAATATAATTAGCAAATAAATATAAAAAATCAAATGAAACAACAATATTTGTCATTAGATGAAAGAAGTAAATGAGTTTTTGCAAGGTAGTGAAGTGGTCTAATGGTTTTGTAATGTTTCTAATAGGTTTTGAGGTCAGGTGACAGATCTAACACTTTTTAATGAGAGGCGTTTCACATAACAAATATATGTAAAATTTTGAGCTAAACACTTTTATTTAGAGATTAAAAGGTGGTTAACATAATAAAGTATTGAGATATTTATACTTTTCTCGAAATATATATTTCTACTCCAGCCAATCATAACACACAGATCTTCGATCGTGATTGGATAAAATGCCATTCCGAATTAGCCCATATGTTTCCACAAATTTTTTTATGTAAATTTCGAAGGGGTCAGAAATTTATGTAATTTTTACCTATTAAAATTTCCTGATGGTGTTCAACATCACTGGTGTGATTTAAAGTTTTTGATTTTAATTATTCAAGTTTCTTCAATATTAGAGTTGAAACTTATAATAAGTATCATTTCACATAGTTAATTTAAATAACAAGAAGAATCTCATAAGTTATAAAGAAGCCTAATTATACAAAAATCATTAAATGTAATACTGTACAATAAAATAAGCCAGCAATTCTAATGAAAATTAACCTTGATCTAATTTTTTCCATTTTTTTTTGATGTCAAAAAACAAAGTGGAATCTGTTTTCGAATCAGTTGGAATCTCATTTTAATTAAAATTACCCATTCTTGTTTTATATAATTAATAATTATTAGGAATTTATGTATTTTTAAGGTATTTATACAAAAAAGCTTCTTCTGAACTTATAACAGATAGATTTCAAAAAGTTGAAGGTTTTAACACTTAAAACATAAGTGTTTATTTAATAGATTTGGAATGCATTGATCATTAATCTTAGTTTTTTATTCAAACAATAGATTTTAGAAAGAAAATAAATATTTTATTTATTTTATTATATATGTGTTTATATTTAATGTCTAAAATAATGTATTTTAATAATTATAACATGAAATAAATATATATGTTAAAAATACTTAAAGTTTGGAATGTTTAAAAAATTATTTTTTTTAAAAAATATTGATGTTTTATTTTTAATAAATAATTATTATCTTGTTATTTCATTTGTTTCGTCCATTTCATCTTTTTTTATTATCATTAGATCATGCGGATAATGGCCAATAACATATGTGATATAAAAACATCGAAGTGAGACAAATCAGCCCATATGCCGATCTGGTTGAATGCGATCATAATTATTATTAGCGATTATAAAATGGTTGAATGCAATCATAAACTGGTTGAATACGACCATTTGGTTGAATGCGATCATCAACTGGTTGAATACGATTATAATCGTTATTTCTAATCGGATATCGTTTAATATCAATATCATCCATATAATAGTAATCATCCCGACCCAGCCCATTTGTACGAGGTGGTAATTCTTTAACTAAAAGTGACCTCGCTGGCAAAATATTTGATTTTACTGGTCGTTTAGGAGATAATAAATGTTGATAGATATCTTCCCAAAGTTGTTTATTTAGGATCTTTTTGTAGGGTTTAATTGAATCTAAGACTTCATCAGCTGAAATATAAAAATAACGAATATATGGTAAACATTGTTGTAATGTATTTTTTAATGTAAGAAATTTTTCTTTGGTCCATTCTTCAAGGTTTGAAGGGAGAGTAGGATTTTGAGCGATTCCCCACTTGATGACATAATCCCAAATTTCGACTTCTTTCATTTGCAAATCATCTCTTTTGAGAAGTGACACCAGAGCAGATTCTTGAAGAGAAGTAAAATCTGAACTATCAAAAATAAGATTTGGATACTTTACAATAATATCATTACAATAATTTTCTAATTTTTTAAAGTTTTGCTTATCAAAAATAGTACGATAGACTAGAGAAAAATGTGCTTTTAACCATGAAGCTTTAGTATCAATGAGTAGAATTTCTAATTTGTTGGTTAATTCCTCAAGTTCTAATTCATTAGAAACCAACATTAAATCGAATATAAATCTAGTTTCAGCATTCTCCAAATTAACAATCCCACCATAAATATATCTACGTAAATAAATAATTCTTAATAAATAAATTTATAAAATAACAATAATATCAATAATATTTTCATTATTCATAATGACTTACTTAAGAATAACATCAAAAATTTGTGCAGAAATGCTCGGCTTGATGATTACTTTAATAATATTCTTATTTGGCCGAACGTTTTCTAATTTCATGCGAAAATAAGACGATCGATACTTCAATACGCTAGAATGCGCCGTAAATGATTTATTCTTATTTTCAACTTCAATAATCACATTGTGATCATCTTTATCGTTAAGAAGCTCAATAAAGTTTTGGGATAACTTGTCAAAGAATTCCAATGCCATTTTTTCTTTTTTTGCAAAATTAATATTATTATTGAGGGCCGAAAAAAAGAAAAGAAAGGTTAAACAAATTTATTCAAAAAAAAAAGAATTCTTTCCCACAATCAATAATTTCTTACTGAATTTGGAGTATTTGTAGGACAATAAATTGGCGTTACCTTAAAATTTGTGTTCCGTTTGATGTGATGTTTATTTTTCTTAAGATTATTGTTTGATAGAATAGAAATTACTGCAAGTGCCATAATTCAAATAAAATTTTGAAATAATTTATATCATATTATTATCGTGGGCGTGATAAGTGTGGTTTTACTTATAAATTTATTTTATTTCATTCATAGTTGTAGAGATTTAGTAAAAGTAATAACGCATTGCATTCTAAAAAATATAGTAATTCACGAAAACTTTAATTCTTTATAATGTAAAATTCTTAATTTTATAATAACAAACTATTAAATAAATAAAATTAAGCTTGTACTTATACCATATTCACACATTATATGAGAAACAAGTGGGCGAGTTTAATAGATTTCCTTATTTGTTTTTGAAAATAAAAAAATAATTTCATTGTTTTTTATTTACAGTGCAAAATATTTTATCAAAAATAAATGAAATATCATTTTCATTTTCAAAGAATTATCACTTCGTAAATTGTAATAAATTTTTTATTTTTATTCCTAGGTAATAAAAAAATTATAATTTTCCATCTGTCTTTTAATGATAATACAACTTTAAAAATTTGTAAGGAGAAATTCCTGATAGATCATTAATGTATTAAAATATTATTTTATTAGTTAATTATAATTTCTACATAATCAACCAAAATCATGATAAAAAATGCCCTTATTATTTTTATTCATTTCCAATTTCATCATATAAAATATAAAGTTAATAAATTTTTAACACCACTTCTCGTCTAGTTGATCATATCTTCCATTCTATTAATATATCCATCGTTACTTAGTATAATAAATATTACTCAATAACATTGTGAAATCTATCATAAAGTATTTTAAATCTGTCGTATTTTCACTCGTCCCAAACCATTTTTGAAATGTGCACCAATAAACCATTACGTACGACATATAGGTAGTAAATGGTTGTAATATTACAACTCCGTTAAAATTAATTATGGCAGGAACTTCTAATATTCTTGATTCATATTTAAAGCATTTTTTGTCTGCTTGTATTAGAATATATGTTTCAATGAATATTGTTTTACTTTGAATGAGTAACCCTATATTCATAAGATAAAGTACATTGTATTACTTTGAAATAATCAAATAAATTTTGTTGAAAAGTAAAAATTTATTTTATTCTTTTTCTTTGCAATTATTTTCTTTTAAAATTACCTGTAAATTTAATGTTGTTGTTGTTTTCAGAAAAGAAACCATTTTATTAAGAAAAGACTGTTTATTTTTCTTAAATTATGAATATTCGCAAATTATTTTAGTGTTAAAACATGAAAAAAAGAACTCAGGTTAGTTCTCGCATTTCATTCATTAAGTTAAGAAAATGTACAATATCAAACATAATACCATCACATTTTTCTACTTTAATATAAATAATTTATACTAATTTGTTAAATTCAGTTGACATTATTTACTTATTTGATTAATGCTATGATCTAAAATTATTTTTACCTTAAAATATGCTTAAATATACAAATTCCATGATTACGATAACAAAGGATTCAATGCATTCAAAAATAAAAAATAGTCATAATCATCTTTAAAAAAAAAACAATAATTGTTATTTTATTTTATTTTATTTTCTTTTAATATTATTTATAATTTCTTCTAATAATTCATTGGCAGATTTATTCCTATTTTCCTTTGCTTAATTCAACCAGTATATAGCTTTTACAATGTCCCACATCCTTTATAAAAGCATAATCCATGCATGTATTACCAGCTTTTGATACCATTCAAATGCTTTCACTTGATTAAAATTAATCCACCATTTTTATTACAATTTCTAATGATTCTTCTTTACCCACGCCTATTTCATTGTCATAACCTATTGAACTCCTTTATTTTCATCTATTGCTATTCCTATTCCTTTTTTATAGCAAGAACCAACATTAGAAAATGCCACAAGATTGCCTTTTCTGTAGCTTTCAAATACATTCTCATTATTTTTTTCAACATCAAACCTATTATTATAACAATATGCCATATTATTCAAAAGCCATATGAGACCCTTTATCAGTAAGTTTATTATAAATCTGAAAAGCTTTTTTATATCCTTTTCAACACCTAGACCATCTATATTAATATTTGCAAGAGAGATGGTACTAAATTCTTTGTTGCTATTGTATAGTTTTTCTTAAGGGAGAGGAATTAAATGAGGAGGTATCAATTATTTCATTACTGCTAAATTAAAGAATTTAAAAGACATTCGATTATCAACAACTGTCCCAATGCAATACTGATAAAAATCCTATTAAGATGGATGGCATGGCGAATCATTTCATATATAATTTCAACCTGATTCTTTTGTGCTCTCTAAAAATAATTTTCGATTATAACGGAACTGTTTTTCGCTTATATCAATGGATAATTCAATCTAACCATTAATTTCAGTTGCGATATCCAAAAGGAGGATTAGGTTTAATTTTATTTTGCCTTAATATAAAAGAATTTTTATATTTAATAAATTTTCTGAATATTCAAATATATATACGGTATATATAATATTAAAAAGGTGCAAACTTACGCATTCAAATTTTCCAATTTAACATCTGTGATATTAAGAGGTCGAGATTTAAAAGTTCCAAATTCAATACTTGCATCAGAGATAATGGTTTCAGAAAGATTTTTAATAACTTAGGTAATATTCAGTCGTGAGTTTCCAATGTGCTTCTCAAAAATATAACATTAATATTTTATTATGTAAACAATATATTGATTTTTATAGATTACTTAAATTTATATCAATATATATTTCCTTGCATTTATGAGATGTTCTAGGTATAGCCAATTCCCTTTTTCCTTTTATAATATTGTTTAATAAATCAATATTTGACGAGGATTCCATTTCAAAAGGAAGATTGCCATTTAGAAATCTCCAAAAAGAAATAATCCCTGGGTCAAAAATGCCAGAACTCTTATTTTTGCAAATTGTTCGGAAGAGTTACGCATATTGAGGGTATTAGATTAGATCAAAATTATTTGTAAAGAAACTTAAAGAATCAGATACAATTTTGATGATTCCATTATGAAAAAAAATACTTTCAGAATTTAATTAAATAAATTTTTAAAAAATAGAATTAAAATACTTCATTCATGAAATTTATTTTTTAATCAGAACATTTTTAAAAAAAAAAATTGCGAATTTATTTTATGAGATTAAATTTTGCATTCCGATCCATTTTTTAAAAATTGATGAAAAGAACTTTCATAAAAAAATTAATTTTTAAATAAATAAATAAGAATGCTATCATGAATTTCCAATTTTCGATATCTTTAATCTTTTTTTTTTTTTTTTTAATTTAAAAATAATGAAAATAGAAATTTTAACAGAAATTAAAATGTTATAGAATAAATAATTTATTATAACCCACTTCATTTATTAAATTATCCAATTGTAAATTTATCTTAAATAAACATTTTCAAGAGCAACAGTTTTTTTAAGAAATTTTAAAAGTTCAAAAATATTCACAGTAATAAATTTACATTCTGAAATTCAATTATCAAATTATCCACTAGGTTTTAAAATGAATAATACACCAATTCACATATGTTGTACATATATTGCTAGTCACGATTAACGACGCATATTTTTGATGGTTTTATAAACTATTTATCATAGTATAGATTTTACCCAATTGTTATTCCTTTTTCGGTGAAGTCACGGCACAAAATACCTTCACCCAATTG